AGTATAGAGGTCACTGTGTAAACCAATAGAAAAGTAACCATCAGCAAATACTGCAGTGATTAGTTAGAATCTGTATTATTCCTTATATATATGTATATGTATGTATTCTCTGTTACAAAGGATGAAGACAAATAGGGAAACATTTCAATGTAAACCATTTATGAATTGGAAGTGATGTTGGCTTTAGTTATCTTTGTAAATAAGGTAATTAGAATGGTATGAAAGGTAATGTGATTATTGCAGGGGTGTTTTTAAATCTTAGGTATAAATTCTAGGGTAAATTCTAGTTTATCAAGACTAGTTTTTAAGGGACCTGCCTTCGAGGGTGTTTTTTGTTATTTTTTGGGGGAGGGTGTTAATCACAAAGTGTGTGGGCTTGCGTTATTTCTTGTTACTATTTTTCTGTCCAGAAGAATTTCATAGAGCTTTACCAGGCTGTGCAAAGTAAAATTCTTCTCAGGCAACATTTGCTTTTTAAAATAATCATGAAGAGCAAGGTTGTTAAAGCAAAAAGTTTTTTATTTTTCTTGTCTTCCAAGATCCGATTTCCCCATCTCCCACTTGCCATCCAGCAGATGCCATCTGTCATCTAAGCTGGTCATTGCTAATAAACAAGGAGACTGTCTCCTGACAGCCAGCACTGTGTATAATCACTCAGGAACCAGCGGATCTGCAAAGACCTACAATCAAAAGCAAATCCCCATTTTCCTTTTATAAAACATTCTACCCTCACCTCCGGTATAAACACATTAAAAGAGTATTAAAAATGTTTAAAATCATGTACTAATAAATTCATTGTATGTTAGAATTGCAATAGAATGGAGAGAAACATTTAGCTAGTAATATATCTGGAAACCCTGAATGTCCTATGTGAGTATTAGATTTTAATAGCATGCTTTAAAGACTGATGAATATAAAAGCAGAAGTTTTGAGTTTTTTACTGCTTTCAAAGTGGTATCCTAGTTTAGTGATACAAACGATTACAACTTTTCTAAATCATAAAATTACTTGGTTTAGTGGAGTGAGGCATGGAGCAATCTGGCGTCTTCTGATTTGTAAAGTAGTGATGGCAGTGAAGTTGTAACTGGAATTTAAGCTGATCTTCCTTTTTGGTATATTATCCGTTGTGCCAACTCTTTAGATTACTTGCAGAATGTGGCTATAAGTTTTAGTATTTTGTGGAGCAGAAGGGTATTTTTAAAACATGCTTATGGAAAGGACAGAATAAATGAATATTCCTAACTTAGTTAAGTAGAATGATTTTATGGTATCCATTAAAAAGGATTAAAGTCTTCCCCCTACCCCAGAAGTCATTTTCTAATTACCAGGATATGCTTTGAGTAGGATTATGATACAAAGAGGTAGTCCAAATTCACAAAGCAATAATAAAAACCGGCATATTATTAATAGTTCCCCCCAAACTTTTAACTCTTTAAAAATGAATTCCTAGGCTTAATTGTACTTTTAATTTGCTTATTTAGTACTTAGAATTTTTAAACTGGCACTTCATTGTTTTTAATTAAAGACTTTTTAAAAGTGCCCATTTCCCTTAGAGACAGTTGGAATATCAGTTGACTAATATTACAAGCTCTTGTAGGGGGAAAAAGGAGCTTATTAAATAAAGTTCTTTACTAAACCTTAGGAAAAGATGTTTTGCATCAGTCTTAATAGGCATAAAGGTCACACTTAATGACTGGGGAAACTTGCTTATTGCCTTTCCCTATATAAATGTTATTGTCTAGAATGAAAGCTAATATAGGAATGAGACCCCAAAATCCATGAAAACCCTTAGTGAGTATATTCTTAATCATTAATATTAGCCCATTATATTTTCATTCGTATTTGCCATTAAAAATTTATTTGCATTTTTACCTTTAGGATAATTGAGTTTGTGTCTTTCTAATCTGTTTTATCATTGCTACAGGTTTTTAAAAAAGAACCTTTCACTAGCACATGCCAGATGTTCACATTTGTGCTAAGTTTTATGTTTTTAAAACAGGTTGTAGCTGTATTTATTGGCCATGCAAGTAGAGGAAATGCATAATACATATGTTTTTCTTTAGCACGTAAGGGACCTATCCTTATCTTGAAATTTTGTTGCTTTAAAAGCAAATGTCTCTCCATAAATATGATGGCCTTCCATTTTCTTCATACATTTTTAGGATCCACTTGTGCATGTAGTTGAGACCACTGTCTCTTAAAATATAGCACTTTTCAATTCTCTCTAAAGAAATACTTATGTACTACTTACTATCACATGTTGTAAATTTTCATGTAATAGTGTTTTCTGTGACTAAACTTCATTTTGATTGGCAGCTATGACTTTTTTTCCTGTGGCTTTAATTTATCTAAGAGGTCTTTGCATATAGATGAAATGTATAATTTGCCTGGCGGACTATTTGCGTTGTGTGGCCTTAGTTTGTTTATTGACATTAACGAGTGTTTTAAAAAGGTTTTTTAATGAATAGTCTTAAATCTAAATTTGTGTGAATAATGATCCTTTTAACACAGTGCTTTTTTGTAGCTGTCTAAGTGTGTTAAATTGTTAAGCTATTTCTTTGTAAAATAGGACAATGGAATGCATAGAGGTTTTTTTTTTCCTGTAAAGTATTTTTTTAATAAACAAAGTCTGATTTGTCCTTTACTGGTGTTTCATCACAAAATGAATAGCACATGTGAATTCCAGATACCTGGAACCTGTTTTTAGAGTACTGATCCCTCCTCTTCTGTGTCCCCTGTTATTTAAAAAAAAATTTTAAGAAAATCTTGTGATTTTCTTTTCTAAAGAAATTCCATCCATATTGAGATGCAGTTAGTTTTGGGGAAGAAGAAAAATCACGCTTGACATTTGTGGCAATTATGCCTCTTGTTACTTAAATTGGCTTATATGAGAAGACCATTTTAAATTTTTATTCTGGTGATGTACATATTCTTGAAGGTGCATGGAGTATTAATACAGATGGTGTATAGACTTTTCTGATGTCATTGATGTATTATGTGATACAAGAAAATGGATTTTCCTCATCAGTTTTTGTGTGAACTTCTCTTTAATTGAGGCACCTGTCCAAAGCAAATAGCCCTCGGTTCTGATGAAGAATAGAAAAGAAGGCAAACTAACATTTTTTGAGTAACTGCCATGGGCCAGGCACTTTATATGAGGGACTCTCATTTAATCCTCACAGCCTTTAGTAGAAGGGTAATTATCTCCATAATTCAGGTGAGAAAACAGGCTTGTTAGGTTGAATAAAGTGCCTATGATCACATAGTTCATCAGTGGGAGCAGGGAGATTTGAATACAGTTCTGGATTCAAAGCCCATGCCCTGTTCAATGGCAGCCTTAGGAAGCACTGAAAGGTTCCTAACAGGGCTCCTGAAAAATGGTTTGCTACTTACCACTATTCTCTCATAGGACTTTTTCGAAAATTAAAACAATGTAATTAAAAATCTCTCTTAGGACTTCAAGTGACTCAATTCCTACACACACACACACCCAAACCTCTTTTGAGTGCTACATAATGAAGTAAAACAATATTGCTAATGTAATTTAGGTTTTAAAGCAAATATTTAGATGTGCAATAAATGGCTTTCATTTGTCATTTATTTTTTAAGTTGGCCAATTTCTCTTGAAGCCCAACAAAACTGTAATGTTTAGCTCTACGACGAAAAGCTGTCAAAGAGCAAAAGCAGAAGGAATATAAGATATGTCTGAGTGAAACAATTTTAAAAAATTAGTCCCGTGGGAGTTATCTTTAGCTTAGTCAATTTTCCTCATCGGTAAAAAGGGGGTAACTTCTAGCTGGAGCTGATTTAATGGATTATAAGAAATAATATATGTGGAATCTTTAGTGCCGCACCTTTTAGGCCTTCTCAGGTGGAAGCTATTACCTGGTCATTGGCTTTACCTGACCCAAACGCTACATGCTGTGGGCAAGCAAGAACGTTGCTTCAAATAAGGTGAGGAGAATGACTTTTAGGGTCACTGTTCCGTTAATGGCAAAAATAAAAGAGGAGGAAAGTGGCTCAAAAACCCTATTAACTATCCTTGAATACTCAGTTCAGGGCTCAACTATTCCTCTCTCCTGACTTCTGTCAGCCTGCTTGAATTCTTAACACATTAACTGCCACACTAGAAAAAAAAAATTTCTTGAAGTCACGGTGTTTTATTACGAAAATAGAATAAAAACTTCGAAAACAAAACGATCCTTTCTAATTTAATGAAAATTTTTTTTTTTGTTTTCTGTGCATGACTTAATTGTAATTTGAAAAATAGTTAACGCCGCTCCCAAGGTGGAGACCTGTAAGTTACATATGCCTCACGAGGCCCCGGGCTCAAAACTAGCATGAGTTAAATACAACTCACATGGCAGTTAATGCGTTAATCTAGAAACAGTTCCCACCGCCACCTTCCCTTGACCTGGTTTGGGAAAAGTCTCCTGCTACTCCCCCAAGTCTTGTCCCTGCTCTTTATCCTTGTGCACCAGAAAGCTCGAGTCTGAGAGGCGAGAGGAAGGGAGTCGCTAAACTGCAGCCTGTCAGGCCTCTTCGTCTCAGGGCAGCGTAAATGCCCGCAAACATTCGTTCATTCAACAAACATTGAGAACCTATGTGCCAGGCTTGTGCATGGCCCCAGTCTCTTACCTCGTGGAACCCATAGCCCACTGGGGAAAACCGATATTAAGCAATCAAACGCAAAGACAAGTGCTAAGAGACATGAACCAGGAGTTATTAGAGTATCAGGACCGACCTCCTTTAGACTACTGGATGGGAAAGTCGTTTCTGAGAAAGCGACTGTCAAGTTGAGACATGAAGAGTGACCTGATTGAGGTTGCTCTTGGACACGACTCGCTTTGCGGCCCCCCAGCCCCTCCATCCCGGAGCCTGGACGGAGGCTGGGCGGGAAGGCCCGGCCCAGGGGCGGAGCCACCTCCGCACAGAAAGCCGGAAAGCGGAAGCCGAAGGTGGCTGCGCTGTGGTCTGCCGAGCTGTTTTCGCCCGCCTCTGGGCTGGCTGAGTCACGGCCCGGCCAGAGCCAGGGAAGACGAACCCTGCCGCCCCGCCACCGCTGCCTCCAGGGCCCTGGGGCCTTTGCATCTGTCTTTTCCAGCCTGGCACAAAGCCTTTGGCTGTTGCCCTAGCGACTGGCGGCCTAGCGAAGACTCCTTCGCTTTTTATCCCCCTCATTTTCCAGTTCATTCTGTGCTTATTTTATGGTCAGTCTGGTGACCCTGTAGGTTGCGCTGGAGGGGCCGTGTGTGTGGCAATAGACTGCAGTGGTCTGGGCGTCGGGCGGCCGGCTGCCGCCGAGGCTGGGGCGGCCTCCGCGGTCTCCATGGTAACGGCCCCGCCGGCGTCTCCGCCTCTGGGGGAAGATGCGGCCTGCAGGGCCCGCAGCCTCGCTCAGGACCGGACGGGGGCCACTGAAGACGGAGGCCCAGGCCGCTGGCCTGCGGGGCAGCGGGCACCAGGTGAGAGCCGGACGCTGGGGTGCGGAGGAGGGGGTGGGGGTGGCAGGTCAACTCCAGCGGCCTCCCCTCCTCTGCATCCATGAACACACTCGAACAAAATATTGCAGAGGTTTCTTCGGTCGCCACTGCGCCAGTTTTTTTTTGTTTTTATCCTGGCAAACAGCCGGAGAAAGAAACAGCAGCTCATGGAGAGGCTGAAAGAAGCGATTTTCGAGCCCTACCCAAACTCGGAGAGTTAACTTCAGCAACTGGACTCACCGACTGGTTTTCCTTCATTTTCAGTGAAATCCCATTCTCTGGCTGGAGACACAGATGGCCTCAAATGAGAGAGATGCTATATCGTGGTACCAAAAGAAGGTAATACCAATATCTTTTATTTGTAAAGAATTCTTCCTGCAAGAAGCTCCCACAAAGAATATCGCGTTACTTTTCCCTGAGTTTGGTAATGCCAGGTATTATTTTGTGATATCTGAACAGAAACGAAAAATTTGATGTACAAGGTCATTATGTCTTTTAAACCCCGTTCTAGGTCCAAGAATAAGATTTTTGAGTCACTTCCCTTCTCCAGGCTGCAAACACAATGCCACGGCGATACTTTGAAAGTTTTCTTCTGATCAAACTGCTTTAAAAAGAAAAAAAAAGAAACCTTTATCTGCTCAGATTAGTACTCTCAACAATCTTATTGAGCTCCCCCTTACCTTTTATTCCTTTCTAGTTTTCCTATTGATGTTTTCTTTAAGAAGTGGAAATATCTTTTAAGGTAATATTTAATTTGAAATATTTTGGGCATTGTTTTTTAACTTAGTTTTAGGTCCAGCTATTTTAGATTTCTGAAGGAAACAGTCCCTTGGAAGTACTAATACATTCTAACTCTGGGAAGCACATTTTTCAGATAATAAATTCATGACTTTTGTGAGGCTTGACTTAAATATAAGGATTTTTGCATCATTTAAATAGCCTGCTCCCTATTTCAGATTGGAGCATATGATCAGCAGATATGGGAAAAATCAATCGAACAGACTCAGATTAAGGTAAATTGATTTCTTTGATTCAATTTCTTTGGTTAAGGTCAATTGATAACTTTGTTTTACTGCATCGATGTGAAGAGTGGATTGTACTTTTTAAAAAATCTTCACTTGTCTACCAAGTATGACATTCTTTACTCTTTGAAGTTTATTAGAAAAACAACAGTGCAAGCATGATGATAAGTGACAGTTCACATTGGCCTCAGTATTAGGGAAATAGGAACAGGAGTAGTTGATCTATGACGAATTAGCGAGCAAATGTCCTATATAAATGGGGTTATGCTATAAACTATAAATTATGCTATATCCTATAAACTGCTCTGGCCAGTTTTTACCACATGGCAATCAGGTCTAGTGTTGCAAGTTTTAGATTTTTCAAGAAAACCTGGAAATAATGCATTTTTATGTGAAATAACCAGAGTTTTAAGAGAGTTGCCCTACCCCCTCAAGCCAAATAAAATCAATTTGCCACCTGAATCCAGCCTGTGGGCTCCCATTTTTCCAGTCACTGGTTTAGAGCATGGTCTTAAGTTTTTCTTAAGAACTGAGCAGATTATTAGGTTATTTCATGCTAACCAGGCAACCAAAACCTGTTGTTTATAATTCAGAATGCCAGTTTATTAATTTATAATAGGGAAGGAGAAGGTTAAATAATCTTCTAATATTCCAAAGTCAGGGTTGTGGGGTCAAGGTGTATGGGGATGCTAGTGCAAATCAGTTATGGAATGCTTGCTTGGTAATCAGTTGTAATTGGATAGTCTTGAGAGATGTAGAAAAGGCTAAAGAACCATCCCTTCCCCTAAAAAGAATGTTATTTCTCTGACTTTAATATTAGGTCTACACATTCATGGTTTCACTTCCTTAGAAAGTGCTGATAAATGCTGGCAGATTCTTGTTTTTGGACTCTTTTTAAGCGATTTTTTATGGATCCTCTATGAGCACTTAAAAAAATGGGTGAATACAACTTAATAGTTTTTTGTTAGATAGGCCAATCAACTAGAAAGCTATTTGAACTACAGGGTACTTGGCTAACTTTTCATAATCTTGTACAGTCCTTGATTATTAATGGGAGATGGAGTTAGGACGAATAAATCCCCAGATTTTATTTTGTAACTCTCTAAATTCTGTCCTATTATTCTTTTGTGAACTGCTACACAGTATTGATAGTAAGTATGAAGTTAGATCTGTTTTGTGATCTCTAGTTTTGTAATCTTGAACAAGTACTGTAGTTTGTCTGGGTTTTGGTTTCCTTAAAAGGATTTTACTTCCTGGTATAGAGTTTCCTTACCTACCTTCTTCCCCTAGACAATTTAAAGATTTCCTCAATTCTTATTTCCACATCATTTAATACATTCTTTTTAGTGTACCATATCAAAGTTATTTGTTAACCTGTGTGTGTTCATAGGCCTTGAGGGCAGGAATTCTGTTTGTATTCCACTCTTAGAACATCTTCATTCATACTAGGAACTCAGTGTCTGTTGCTATATTTAATTGAACCCCATCCATTATGCATATTTTTACTCATTGTAATCTACCTAACAACTCCTTAATGTATGCTTTTTAATTTAGCAGGAGTGGGAAGAATGAAATTTAAAACAACTGTAAAAACTTACTGAGCTAATGTGCCACACATGTATGAGTTGTTAAGAATACAGTGAAAAAGACATGGTTCTAACCTTCATGGGTTTCCTAGTCTAATAGTGATGGGAGAAAAGCCAAGATATCTTTTTAATATGTTTAGTTAGGTCTTAGACAAAAATTGATCAAAGAATAAAGTAATGTAATTTAAATATAGATTGACAAATACAAATATTTTTGAAAATAAATAGAAAATAAGGAAAGAAAAAGAAAAGTTAAAACAAAAAATAAATCAGATTATAGTTAAAGAATTAAAAATTATATATGTAAAAGTATAATTCAAAATTATAAAAGGTATAAATTTTAAAAATCTTAACTTGAATTATGAAAAGCAGTATGCATTCTTCCACAAACATTTATTGAGCTACTGTGTTTAAGGCATTTTGCTAGGTGCTGAGCACAAGAGGAAGAGTATTAACAAACAGAAGTGTAAGAGTTAAGGGAAGAGCAAGTAGCTTAATGTGATTGGAGGATAAGGTATATAGATGGAGTGATTGGCCATAAATTTCTTTGGTGTTTACTTGACTGCTTTACTAAGAACTTCAGATAGTATTCTGTACAAATGGAAAAACTCTGATGGTTTTTAAGTAGAGGGGCCACATCATATCTGTGTTTTTGAAAGATAGAAATAAAAATATAGACGTTATAATGGAATCTATGGAATGTTTCCACAGTAATACTTGATGAAATTATATTACTCTAAATGTCTATATTAACAAATGTCTAGATTGACTAGGAAGAAAGTTACAGTGAATCGTATTAAAGAATCTAGAGAAAGAAAATAGCAACAAGCCAAAGTAAAGCAGGGAAATAAATACCAAACATAAAATTAAAGCAGCTATTATGTATTCTTCGTTTAACAAGTATTTGTTGAGTACCTACCTACCATGTATCGGCAGTAGCTATGTGTACATAATGGTGAGCAAAAACATTCAACATTTTTCTTTTCATGCAGTTATGGTAAAGTGGGAGAGAAACAATAATAAAAATAATTCTGATGAGTAAAAATTACTTTGTGATAAATTTACTAAGAAGAGGAGCTATTATTTACAAGCTACTACACCTAAGATAAGGGAAATAAGAGAGCCTAGTCAAGGAGGTCAGATAACTTTCTCTAAGGAATTGATGCTTAAAATATAATCTGAAGGATCTGAAGAAGTTAAGTAAAGAACAAATATACTAATACTACACAAATTTCTTCAGAAAACAGGAGGAGGAAATACACTTCCCTGCTTATTCTGTGAAACTAGTATTACCCTGATACCAAAGCTAGACAAAGACAGCATAAGAAAATTCGTCGTGAACATAGGTGTGGAAATCATTAACAAAATATTAACAAACCAAATTCATGTTCATATTCAAACCAACAACATATAAAATGGATCATCTACTGTGATCAAGTGGGATTTATCCCAGGAATGCAGCTTTGGTTTAACATTTGAAAAGAAATTAATGTAATATACCATGTTAATAAAATCAAGGACAAAATTACATGATCTAAATAGACACAGAAAAAGCATTTGATAAAATTCAATGCCCATTAACAATAGACTAGGAATAGAAGGTAACTTCCTCAATCTGTTAAAGGTTATCTAGGAAAAATCTACAGCAAACATTCCACTTGATGGTTAAAGACTGTTTTCCCCTAAAATCAGGAACAAGGGACATCTGCTCATAACACTTTTATTTAACATTATACCAGGGGTCTTAGCCAATGCTATAATGCAAGGACAAGAAATAAAAGGCATCAAGATGGAAAGGACAATGAAAATTACCTTTATTCTTGATGACATATTCCCATATTTAGAAAATTCTAAGGAATCTACAAAAAATTATATTGACAGATGAATTTGGCTAGGTCTCTAGATACAAGATCAGTATACAAAAACTATGTTTCTATATACCAGCAGTGAGAAATTCAGAAATAAGAAAATTCCATTCATAACAGCATCAAAGAGAGTAAAATATTTAGGAATAAGTTTGACATGGAAAGTGTAAGATCTGTCTATAGCCATACTAGCCTGAATGGCCCGGATCTCATCTGATCTCAAGCCTGGTTAATACTTGGATGGGGAAAAGTATAAAACCTGCACTCTGAAAACTACAAAACATTGCTCAGAAAATTTAAAGGTCTAGGCCGGACGCGGTGGCTCACGCCTGTAATCCTAGCTCTCTGGGAGGCCGAGGCGGGCGGATTGTTTGAGCTCAGGAGTTCGAGACCGGCCTGAGCAAGAGTGAGACCCCGTGTCTACTAAAATTAGAAAAAAATTTATTGGAAAACTAAAAATATATAGAAAAAATTAGCCGGGCATGGTGGCGCATGCCTGTAGTCCCAGCTACTCGGGAGGCTGAGGCAGGAGGAT